TCCTCTGTGAACCAGATTTTATATCCCTTAGTTCCTATCGGGTATCCCACAAACACTCCTTTTCTTGCTCTTGGAAGAAGTTTGCCTTGATCACTGTGAACATAGGCTATACACCCAAAACGTCTGAGATGTCCATAGCTGGTTCCTTTTCCGGACTAGATTTCATTTGGAACCTTGAAGTTGATTGCTGTGGAGGGTGATATGTTTATAATGTGCACTGCTGCATAAGCAGCTTCAACCCAGAATTCTTGAGGCAAACCTGACTCGGATAAGACACATCTCACTTTCTCCATGATGGTGCGGTTCATCCTCTCTGCAATGCCATTTTGTTGTGGCATGTATGCACATGTGTTGTGCCTCAAAATTCCCTGAGTTCTACAATGTTCGTCGAACCTTCTGTTGCAAAACTCCAGTCCATTATCCGTTCTTAGGACTTTTAGCTTTTTTTCTGTTTGTCTTTCCACTAACGTCTTCCATTCCAAGAATTTGTCGAAAGCTTCATCCTTGGATCGCAGGAAGAATATCCAGACTTTTCTGGAGTGATCATCGACAAAGGTCATGAAGTATATGCGGTCTGATAAAGAAGGAGTTGTTGATGTTGACCTCTACAAGTCTGAGTGTACGTAGTCTAATACCCCTTCGGAGTTGTGTTGTCCAGTACCAAACACTAGTTTATGTGACTTGCCTAAGATACAATTTTCACAGAACTTGAGATTCGACACCTCTGCATTATCAATGGCTCCTTTTTTTGCCAAAATTTCCATGCCTTTGTAAGACATGCCCGAGTCTACTATGCCAAATCTTAATCTTGTCTTGCTGTACAGAAGATTTATTTGCTTCCCCTGTAATTGCTTTTCTCTCTAGAATGTATAACCCATTTTTCAACATTCCTTTTAGAATTGTTCTGCAGCCTCTAATCACCTTTAGACAAACCTTCCTCTAACTTGTACCAACATCCTTGGGATTCCAAAGTTCCAAGGGAAATAAGGCTTGTTCGTAAAATAGGTACATACCGGACTTGTGTTTGAAGCCTTATTGAACCAACTCCTCTTATCCTGCATGTGGAGTTGTTTCCCATCATTACTACTCCTGTTGGTTCATCCTTTGTATCAATAAACCACTATTTTCTTGGACACATGTGGAATGTACAACCAGAATCCATTACCCACTCATTTGCAGCATCTCTGTCTGGCATTGTCAAAGCTTCTGTTTTGTCGATAATGAGAACTTCAGATTAATAACATGAAAATTAAAGACAAATGGGTAATTACATCCTACAAATGAAGTAACCTCCAAAATCTAGTTCCCTTTACTGTATCCGCTTTTTCCTTTCAGATTCCCTATGGTTCATCTCCTTTTTTCTCGCATAACAGTCTTTTCGAAGATGACCCTTCTTCCCGCAATGCCAACATTCCGGGTCCTTGTTTCTGGATCTTGAGAAATTCTTTTTGTACCCATATTTGTTCTTGTGAGGTGATCTTCCTCTAACATGTAGTCTCTCACTTTGTCATTTTCCTATCTTTCCTTGGGCTATGAGCTCCATTTCTTTGGATCTAGCCATTGCCTTAACTTCTTCAGGAGTTATTGTTGATCTTGAGTATTTTAACACTTCTCTCAATTAATCATAGGCCGATGGAGGTGAGTTTAACAGGTATATTGCCTGATATTCCTCTTCGATTTTAACCTGCAAACTCTGTAGCTCTGAAAGTATCTTCTGAAATTCATCTAAGTTGTCTTCAATCGTTTTCCTATCATTCATCCTAAAACCATAGATCCTCTGCATCAAGTACATTCTGATTGGCAATGATTGCTACAAGAACATGCGCTCCAGTGATTTCCAGATCGAATAAGCCGTCTTCTCTTGAATTACTTTTCTTAAGATTTGATCAGCAAGGCAGCAAAACTATTAGATTTCGAGCCTTCCTACTTCTCTCTGCTCTTTCTTGGTAGGTTCTACTTTCAGATTTCTTTAGATATATTCCTCCAGTCGAACTTCTCGTAACCACAGAGCCAATACCTGATGTACATGATGAGTCCAAACCTGATTCTGTCATTGTCGATCCACCTCGAGGAGTCTGTTCCTCCATCCCAAGCGTTTCATCTTGAGTTTGTTTCCAATTCTCAGGATTATCTTCAAGAAGTCCCATTATCTCCAATCTGATCTGAATTTTTTCCTTCCAAAGCACGAAATCATTTTTTCCATCGAACTTTTCCACGTCCAGCTTCTGTATCGGAATCGCCATCTTCTTTTTGCTCTCTTGCTTGCGAACCTTTCACGATCGATCCTCAACTTCTTCCGTGTGCTTGCCCCGCAACCAGTTTCTGATACCACTTATAATTGCGAAAGGATGTATTCTGCCACAATCGCACACACGAATCAGAAACTCTCTCTAGTCTCTCTCTCTCGAAGAACAAGAAATTGGAATCGAAGTATGAGCCGAGAACTCAAACAAGAAAGTAAAGAACACAAAGGAATTACGAGTTCAGTACGATCAGGGTGATCGTACCTACGTCTCGAAGGAGAGAGAAATCGTTCACTATCACGGGATAACACTCACGGACTTACAGCTTATCGGAATTCGCTCTAAGGAACCTGAATTTAACAACCCCTTTTATAACAGACAAAACGAAGAAGAAGATGAAGAATGCTGCCGTTTTAATCATTCCAAAACGTTCTAATTCAACTTGAGTCTCCGGCTTATACTGAAGTCTCTGTTTCGATCCAAGGCTTTAGTCATATTTCAGGCAGAATATTACAGAAACTCTTTCTAATCCCTATATTAAACCATAAATTTTTAAAAACAATATAAGCAAATCGTGAACTTTTAATCACCTCCAAAAAAACAACTATAAAATTAATTTCTAAATTTTAAAAGATTCTAAAAACAACCATGACATGGTATTTTTAAAATTTTAGGTTTTAGTATAAAAATTCATATAGTTTTTTTGGTTTTTTTAATTCGTATAATTATCTGAGATTTTTTTTACAAATTCATATATTAACATACGATTTTCCCTATTTTATAACACAGTTGTTTATGTACTTTTTTTCAAATTTTCTTTTCTATTGTTCTATGATTTCTTTCTTTACCAAATATTATTTATATTATCAGCATAAAAAGGTTATTTTCCCACAAATTTCCCCTTATAATACTTATATTATTTTATATAAAAATTTGCGATAAGATTGATGAATCATTATTTTATAGTAGAGTTGTCAATTTAGTCGCGAAGTTTGAAGCACAAAGTTGACCCAAACCCACGAGAAAAATATCAGATTTTGATCTAAATTTTTCGATTAAAAATTCGGATTTTTGAGTCGGGGTTAAATCCGATTTCTGGTCGGCCTGAAATCTGATAAAAAAAATTGAGTGATCCGACGGATGTGAATTGAATTCAAAGCTTATAGAGTCAGGTTTTGGATTTGGTTTTATAGAACAGAAAAAAGTTGGGTTAACTCTAGCCCAAATCCGAAACTTCCAAGCCAAATTTGAGTTCATATCGGCGCGATTGGCACCGGTGTCTGGTACCAAAAGAGAAGTTCGGGCAGCTCAAACAAAACCAGCCCAACCTCTTCATGGCCACACCCCTTTTCTGACGCAGTTCGTCTTGTTGCATGTGCCATACGGTATCCAAATGCCGTCCTCTCTACTTCCTACGATTGAAGTGAAGACCCTATCAGATTCATTCACGAACCAACCTGCCTCTAGTGCTGTTAAAAAAAATATCTTTGTATAATTTATTTTTTTATTGGATATATATATACATTATCATATGTCCATGCCCCCAATTAAAATTTGGTATGGGTCCGCTGAGCTCGCCCACTTATAGCAGATGGTTATGGGAACACAAATGAGATTTCAAAATGGCAAAAAACAATTGGTTTCCGAAATCTGTGCAAAAATATCTTTATGGGGTAGAGTGTGCGTCCATAATAGTTACACGTGTAGGTATGTGTGGTCCATTTAAAGAAAGTCTCATGTATTTGAGAACACTATCAAATATGGCAAAAAAGTAAAGTGGTTGGCCTTTTCCAAATATGCGGTCATTTGAATTCCACATCGCACTAACTAATTTTGAAATATAAATAATAAATGTAATGAAAATCAATATTTTCGGATATATAATTAACAAATGAATATAATAGATAAAATACAGATATGAGTCAATTTTCATATAGTATTAACTTTATTTATTGAATTTAAAATGTTTGGTCGATAAATATGTTGGAAAATCTTTTATTATATATATATATATTAATAATTTAATCTAGATATTTATGATGCAATCCACGTTTATACTCATTTAAAAAAGTTAAAAATATAAAACAAAATAATTCTCTTTTTTTATATTTCTATTAGTTTCCATGAAATTTTCTTTTGTAATATTTCATCTCCAAGTAATTTCCTTTTTGTCAACTACTCACTTTTTATTTTTCAATATTATTCTATTGTTATTTTTTTTTCATTTCTAATCTCAGTAGCTTATTATTCAAAATATTTTTCTATTTTTTTCTCACTGTTTCTACCATTGTTTTCAAATTCCGTTTTTCATAGCTATTATTTATATTGTCTTTTTTTTCTATTCAATATTTATACTATTAATCTAAACAATACGGTTTTTCTAAAAATTCTGTACATCTTTTCTCAATATAATTTTTTTATTCGTTCCACTAATATTGTTATGCAAAATTTATTTTATTACCCAATTAAATTTTTTATTTGGAATATAATCTAGCTTTGTATAAGAAAAAAAGTTCCATTTTTTGTTATTGTATCCACATGTCATTTAAATGTCATGTTTACATTAACTTTAAAATAAAAAAATATTAATACTATTGAAAATTTTTGTTTGTTCTTTGGTCCAACATAATGTGTGGTAGGGGTGGAGAATCAACTTTATTGCCAAATCAATGCGCCTGTTGACCCATACAGTACAAGTCATTGCCCTAACTCTTCCAAGCGTATATTAAAGTGTTCTTTGTGTGGCCTTTTCTTCAAGTTTCCTCGTGCATTTTGAGGGAAAGGAAGACCATTTTCATCACGGCATCATCGACCGACCACCATGGCTGAGTTCGATCGGATTCGCGAGATCAAAGCTTTCGAAGCAGCGGGTGCGAGCGTAAAAGTCCTCGCAGACGCTGGCATCGCTCAAATCCCTCCGATTTTTCATCTCCCGCGGGACTTTTTGGAAAGCAAACAGCCTCCTTCATCCGATCCACGCTACTCCGTTCCCGTCATAGACCTCCAAGGCATCAAGAACGACCCCATTGCACGCAAGAACGTCGTTGAGGACGTTAGAGAGGCTTCAGAGAAATGGGGGTTCTTCCAGGTGATCAACCACGGGATTCCCCAGAGTGTTCTTGATGGAATCATTGCCGGAACACGACGGTTTCACGAACAAGACCATGAAGAGAAGATGAAGTACTTTACGCGAGATGTGTCCAAGAACGTGGCCTTCAGATCGAACTTTGATATTCAGAAATCCGGTCTTGCATCTTGGAAAGATAGTTTCCATTGCCAGATGGCACCCAACCCGCCCCGTCCCGAAGAGCTTCCTCATGCTATCAGGTGATTTCTTCATTAAAACACTATTTGCGTTTAGACAAGTGATTGTGAAGATTGATATCGTTTTGATCTTGTTTCGTATTTAGGGATTGTTTGATGGAATTCTCTGAGGAAGTGAAGAAATGTGGAGAATTGATGTTTGAGCTACTGTCTGAATCTCTGGGGTTACCAAGTGACTACCTAAAGGACATGGATTGTGCAAATGCTATGGCATATCTTTGCCACTATTACCCTTCTTGTCCACAGCCCGATGTAACATTGGGATTGAAGAGGCACTCTGACAACTCTTTCATCACAATGCTTCTTCAAGACCATATCGGCGGCCTTCAGATTCTCCACGACGACTACTGGATCTTCGTTCCACCTATTTCAGGTGCCCTCGTTGTTAACATCGGAGATTTCATGCAGGTATATCAACAGGCCATGTATAAACTGAACTCAGCCCAAAAGCGGACTAGGTTAAAGAATACACATATATATATATATGTTTATGTTTTATATGCTGTGTGTTTGGGCTCTTCAGCTTTTGACAAACGACAAGTACAAGAGTGTGGAGCACAGAGTGCTTGCGAACAAAGTCGGGCCGAGGATTTCAGTGGGATGCTTCTTCAACACAAGTCTCAACCCTAATCCGAAAGTGTACGGACCCATCAAAGAGCTTCTGTCCGAAAATAACCCTCCTAAATACCGTGAGCTCACCCTCCAAGAGTATAATACAAAGCGTGCGGAGGAGCCGCTGGGTTCTGCCGGAAAAGTGTTGAAGTACTTCGAGATCTAAAACGTTATACAATATCTAATGGATGTTACGAGTATCTACGCAAGTAATAATGGTCTGGTTTCTCTCTTGATGGAATCGTGACCTTGCATGTATTGAATATTTATATGAATTATGCAAAAAATTATCTTAATTGTTTAAGGTTTTATTTGCAAAAGTAAGTGTAAGGAGACTTGAATTCATTTAACAATTGATATTGAAATATGTAATTTTAGTGATGCCTTTGTTCATCAATTAATATTTCCTGTGAATTGTATTATGTTCGGAGAATTATTGATAATAAATATATTGTTGAAAACTAAAGACGAAAAACAAGAGAGAGAATGCTCTAGAGAGAGAAAGAGTATAATAGAGAGATGAGAGAAAATGTTCTTCGTATTTCGTATGTTCCAAATGAACTACATCACTAACCTATTTATAGAGAAATATAAGGAACTTCTTCATAGTGAAGAAGGGTCAGCTTCTTCATAGTGAAGAAGAGCATAATATGGGTTCTACTGGATAATATGGATCCCACTAGATGTCTACTTGTATATTTACAACACTCCCCCTTAGACATCTAGTATGGACTGCCTCGTTAAAAACCTTATCATGGAAAAATCCTGTGGGATAAAAACCATGACGAGGGAAAAAGAGTACAGTTTTACAATCTCCCCCTTGAACCAATATGAATACGTTTCTTCATAAACTTCGAAGACGACGCATTCCGATATTCTGAATATGCTTCTTGAACGTTGAAGTAGGGAGTGCCTTTGTGAATAAATCAGCTACGTTGTCACTTGATCGGATATAACGGATATCAACTTCCTTCTTCTTTTCGAGCTCTTGAGTGTAAGAGAAGTACTTCGGAGGAATATGCTTCGTTCGATCATTCTTTATGTATCCTTCTTTGGTTTGAGCAACACATGCGGCATTATCTTCGAATAATATCGTTGGATCGATATTAATCGGTAATCCACACGCTTCTAGTATATGGCGGGTTACAGCCCTAAGCCACACACATTCTCTACTTGCTTCATGAAGTGCAATGACTTCAGCGTGATTCGAAGATGTTTCAACCAATGTTTGTTTCTGAGAACGCCAGGATATTGCAGTACCTCCAATTGTGAAAACATATCCAGTCTGTGATCGGACTTTATGAGGGGGATAAATAACCTGCGTCTGCAAAACCGATTAGCTCAAATTTCGAATCCTTAGGATAAAATAATCCCAAATCAATTGTTCCTTGTAAATAACGAAAGATATGTTTGATCCCTGTCCAATGTCGTCTTGTTGGAGACGAGCTATATCTCGCTAAAAGATTAGTAGCAAATGCTATATCTGGTCGAGTACAGTTAGCAAGATATAACAATGCCCCTATCGCGCTCGTATAAGGTACTTCAGGACCGAGTACCTCCTCGTTATCTTCGTAAGGGCGAAATGGATCTTTTTCAACATTTAGGGACCTACAAACCATTGGGGTGCTCAACGGATTTGATTTATCCATGTTAAAACGCATCAGAATTTTCTTGGTATAGTTGGACTGATGAACAAGTATTCCGCTAGGAAGATGTTCTATTTGTAGTCCAAGACAAAACTTCGTTCGTCCCAAATCTTTCATCTCAAATTCTCCTTTGAGATAATTTCGAGCGTTTTCAATTTCTTTTGGAGTCCCGATTATGTTTAGATCATCCACATAAACCGCTATAATCACAAAGCCGCTATTTGTTTTATGGATGAAAACACATGGGCAAATGGGGTTATTAACGTATCCCTTTTTCAGTAGGCATTCACTTAAGCGATTATACCACATACGTCCAGATTATTTTAATCCGTATAAGGATCGTTGTAATTTGATCGCATACGTTTCCTTGGATTTTGAGTTTAATGCCCCTTGCATTCTCAATCCTTCAGGAATTTTCATGTAAATGTCATTTTCCAATGACCCATATAAATATGCTGTGACAACATCCATGAGATACATTTCCAAATTCTTGGAAGTTGTCAAACTTATCAAATATCTGAACGTAATCGCATCCATGACTCGAGAATACGTTTCCTCATAATCTATTCCAGGTCTTTGAGAGAAACCTTGTGCGACAAGACGTGCTTTATATCTCATAATTTCATTATTTTCATTTCTCTTTCGCACAAACACCCATCTGCATCCAACTGGTTTTACACCGTCAGGGGTTTGGATAATGGATCCAAATACTTTTCTTTTATTTAATGAGTCTAATTCTACTTCTATAGCTTCTTTCCATTTTATCCAATCATGTCTTCTTTGACATTCAGATACCGACATCGGTTCTGGATCTTCACTATCATTTTCGATTTCCTTAGATACAGAGAAAGAGAATATTCCATCATTATCATCTATCTCATTTCTTACCAACATCTTTCCATTATGGATGTAATTGATGGAAATCTCATTGTCTTCTGTATTCTGAAGATCATTTTCATCATTTTGATATTCAATATCTTTTCCCTCATTCGGTTCTTTTGGATCAATCTGAGGACTATCATCAGTCTCAGTTTTCTTTCTGTTTTGTGGATTTCTATCTTTAGAACCGGGTGGTCTTCCACGTTTCAACTGTGGCATAGACTCATTTGAAATTCTTTTCTCCCCCTGATCCTTTGGTATTTCTATCCGAGCGGGTACATTCACGGCTGGTATATATGATTTTGTCACCCGTATTGTATCTGTGAATCCATCTGGCAATCGATTTGCTATATTTTGCAAATGTATGATCTTTTGTACTTCAAAATCACATAGTTTTGTAGGAGGATCAAGATATAATAATGATTCTGTTTTCCACGTCAAATCTTGTGAGGCTTGTATCATTTCTCCCCCTAACGTCGGGAATTCATCCTCACGAAAATGACAATCAGCAAAACGAGCTGTAAACATATCACCCGTTTGTGGTTCAAGATATCGAATGATTGAGGGTGAATTATATCCAACGTAAATACCCAATCGTCGTTGTGAGCCCATTTTTGTACGTTGTGGTGGAGCTATTGGTACATATACCGCACAACCAAATACTCTAAGATGAGATATATTTGGTTCATTTCCAGTTGTCAATTGCACTGGAGAATATTTATGATATGCACTCGGACGAATTTGAATCAGTGCTCCAGCATGTAAAATAGCATGCCCCCAAACAGAGATCGGAAGTTTTGTTTCCATCATCAATGGTCGAGCAATAAGTTGGAGTCGCTTAATTAATGACTCGGCCATACCATTTTGTGTATGGACATGGGGAACAGGATGCTCAATCTCAATTCCGAGTGACATACAATAGTCATTGAAAGCTTGAGAAGTGAATTCACCGGCGTTATCAAGCCTCACTTTCTTAATAGGATAATCAGGGAATTGAGCTCGTAGTTTGGTAATTTGAGCAAAAAATCTCGTGAATGCAACATTCCGGGTTGATAATAGACAAACATGTGACCATCTGCTTGATGCATCTATCAATACCATAAAGTATCGAAATGGTCCACTCGGTGGATGTATTGGTCCACAAATATCCCCATGTATTCGTTCTAAAAATGATGGCAATTCATTTCCGATTTTGACCGATGACGATCGTATTATCAATTTCCCTTGAGAACATGCGGTACATGTGAGTTCATAGATTGGAAAATCTTTCCATTTTTCAATGGATGACCATTAGAACTTTCCACAATTTTCTGCATCATTATTGAACCAGGGTGACCCAATCGATCATGCCAAATCTTGAACACATCTCCAAACTGTGGATTCATTGTAGAATATGATTCAATCATATATATCTTTGTGAAGTATAATCCAGAGGATAAAGATGGTAACTTTTCCATCATATGCTTCTTTCCAGCAATCATTGACGTGATACAAATGTATTCACGATTTTCTTCGCTTATAGTCTCGATATGAAAATTATTTTGGCGAATATCTTTGAAACTCAATAAGTTTCTTTGAGACTTTGGAGCGAATAATGTGTTATTGATCATAATCTTTGTGCCTCTAGGCATCATAAAACTTGCTCTTCCTGAGCCCATGATCATTCTCGCATTTCCAGATATTGTGTTAACATTGGATTCATTAATATTCAACTCAGAGAAGTATTTCTCATCTTTAAGTATCGTATGAGTCATAGCACTATCGGCTAGACATATATCCCCATCATTGATATTGAATTTCGACATATCTCAAGTCGAATTGATCAATGTAAAAGATACGAAATATTCCTGAAAACAAAGATAAAGATGAAATAGTACATAACACAGAAACTGAACGTTAGAGTATAAAACACACTTGGAAATAAAATACACAATGCAACATTCATAATAAACTTCATGTCGATTTTCTCTAGTTGGTCATTTTTCCATCTTCAAGCTGATCAAGGAAATCCGCGATATACAAATATGTTCCATCTCTTTCTTTATTGATGAAATCATCAGGGACACCAGATACAAAAATTTGTCTGGGTATTTCTCCCTTTTATCTTTACGTGATTGTTGATATCATTCAACAAGATGTTTCAGTATACGACACGTCTGTGACCAATGATCGTTCATACCACATCGATAACAGATATTATCTCAAACATTGCGGAATCATATTCTCGCACAGACTTAAAGTCTTAGAATCTCAGATCCAGCCAATCATGTTTGGCTCTCGGATGGATCACATATTTCTCCTGATCGAAATGATCTTTGAGTGATTCCCATAAATCTGAGGGATTCTCTTTCGTGCGATATTCATCTTTTAGCGCATCATCAAGATGGTGTCGCAGAAATATTATCGTTTTTTCCTTATCAGCTTCAGATGTCGCTTGCCCTTTTTCGATTGTTTTGACAATCTTTTCGGCTTTCAGATGCATTTTGGCATCAAATGCCCATACCATATAATTTTTTTTGCCATAAGCATCGAGGGCAATTTCGAGATTGATCAAATTCGACATATGTATCATATGTAACAACAGTAGATATAATCATGAATATATTATCAGGCGGTAATACCGTCCATATTGCATAAAGTAAATAGTTAAGGTGACACAGCCATCCATCACAGAAATAATAACATAAATAATGACAGAAATAATATTCATATTTAGGTGGCATAGCCAACCATTACGATAATAATAGCAATATTTGTAAATATTTATAAGAATATTTACAGGTGGCATAGCCAACCATTATGATAATAGTAGCAATATTTATAAATATTCATAATAATATTTACAGGTGGCATAACCAACCATTATGATAATAGAAGTAATACTTATAGATATTCATAATAATATTTACAGGTGGTATAGCCAACCATTATGATAATAGAAGTAATACTTATAAACATTCATATCATTGACTGGTGGCTGAACCCGCGAAATCTATATGAATGTAATATAAATATATGCAATTAGTTATATATTAGTGACCGGTGGCTGAGCCTCCCAAGGTCTATATATAATGAAATTGAAGATGAATAGAGATGGAGAATCGTACATTACCTTTTGTATGATATTTTCTTTTTTACCTCTATATCGGCAGAGTCTCGTGCTGATAACGTGTTGAAAACTAAAAACGAAAAACAAGAGAGAGAATGCTCTAGAGAGAGAAAGAGTATAATAGAGAGAAGAGAGAGAATATTCTTCGTATTTTGTATGTTCCAAATGAACTACATCACTGACCTATTTATAGAGAAATATAAGGAACTTCTTCATAGCGAAGAAAAGTCAGCTTCTTCATAGTGAAGAAGAGTCAGTTTCTTCATAGTGAAAAAGGATCAGCTTCTTCATAGTGAAGAAGAGCATAATATGGATACCACTGGATAATATGGATTCCACTAGATGTCTACTTGTATATTTACAACATATATTTGGTTTTCTCTCTTTTTTGTTTGTTTGTAATTTATTTAGTTTTTATAAACATAATTCAAATACAGATAATAAATATACTTAATAATTGGTATTGAAATGTAGTTTTGATCACAATAATATTGATCAATTAGATGTATTCTCTGAATTTTTTGAATATTTTAAAGGATAATTTGTTCCCCGTAAGTAGATTCTAATTCTAAAGCAGTTCCCTTGTTGCTCAAGCCACAATATTGTTGCTCCATCATTTCCATTAATGCCACATGAAAAGAAATGAAAAAAGATAACAAAAAATACAAAATCCGATTTTGAAAAGTCAAATATGGTGGCAATGGAGATGGGACAGGACGGTACTAGGGGGTAAAATATTCGAAAAAATTGAACCGATTTATTATTCGATTCGTATCCGAATTAAAAATTCAGATATCTGAAGTTTATGGATCATATACGAATATTTTTTTGGAGATATTAATCGGATACGGATAGGATACGGATATCAAAATTAAATTATCTTATATATTCGATCTGATCCGTACTTCATAACAATATTATTAAATATAAAAATAATTCTGTATAGAGGTTTAAAATGCTTAATATTTACACGTTTTTTAGAGTGATTTAAAAAATGTTTTATATATATTGAGGTTTATAATGCTTAATCTTTTAAATATTAAGATTTATTATGTTTAATGTTTTGAATTTTGAATTTTGAATATATTTGTATGTGATAGATTATGATTGTATTTGTATTTGAGTTGATTTGGAATTGATTTGGAATGTTTAAATTATGAATCTTGAATTGTGAATATCGTTTATATTAAATAGATTATATATTTTATTTGCGTTTAAGTTTGTTATTTAATTTTAATTTAAAATTTTAAAATGTTTTAGATGACGGATAGCCGCAAATATATGTGATTTTTATAGATATCCGAAAATTATGGATCGAATACGAATAATAAAATCAAATATTTGTTCGGAACAGATACAGATATCGATATCTCAAAAATATCGGATATTCGATCTGTAGACGTTATCGTTAATCGGCAACTTTTTTCCTTGAAACTTAAATTCACCTGGGTTTCATTTGTTCCGTTATTTTCTATGTTCATATGCAAATCATGATAGTTTTTATTTTATTTTTTTATTTTTGGATTCTATCTTTTAGTTTTTAAGTTTTTTATTTTTATAATATTTTTAAATCTAAAAATTTGATTTTTAAATTTTTTTTACTAAAGTAGTTTTCTTAAGTTTTAGAAACATTAAATTTACAAAATTTTAGTTGTCAACTTATTTAGATTCTAAAAACTCATTACATTCAACCTCTAAAACTATGGCGGTTCTATTTGTTCCGTTATTTTTTATATCCATCTGTCTATATTAAGAGTGCGGTGGAGTTGAGAAAAATCCAATAAACACAGAAGAAAGAAAAAATATCTAAATAAATTAAAAAGTTATTTTCTGCTATTTTAAGAGACTTTTTTCCGTATTTACAAATATTTATTTTGTCCAATTAAAAAAAAAGAATTATCATTATTTTTTCTTTATAATTGAGAGAAATGCCATAATTTCTCCAAGTCTATATATATCTCAAAGTATTTATTTTCTCGAATTAAAAGAGATAAGTATCATTGTTTTCTCTTTGTATTTGAGAGGTGTCCTAATTTCTCGTAAATCTATACATAGCATTCTACTGTTTGTCGTAGCATTTTGTCAAGCCACATAGACATCTCGTATTCCATTATTTATTTTCTCATCTTAATTTATTTGTTTAATAATAATTTATCTATGACTGATCGTGACCGTGGAGATCACTGAAATTGGTAACATTGAGTTGAAGAACATGATGATGAAGATTTGAATGATTGGAGAAAATGAAAAAGTTGAAAGCAATGGAAGAAAAAGTTGAAGAAATTATTGGTCGAAACGGTTAGAAGTTGAAGGATGAGTTATTTGTCGGCTTTTGTAACTTACAAACTCGATACGACTGATGGCTTACGAAGTGTTGTTGCAGTTTCTCAAGAAGATTTGGCCCAGATGGAGTTTGAATCCGGGTGGATTGGAAACACTTTGTGCTTCCCAACCACCAGGCCGCCCAATTGTGAGTTGTGTGTGTAATGTTGTATGTATTGAAGTTCATGTTCATGAGTGTCTCGTCGGTCCAAGTTACGTGAAAACCCGTCCTTCACTTTCTATTAAACATCGCAGGTATTCATCAGCGATGCCGGCTTACTATACTATTTGCATGACGTCATTCGGCGTCGCTACCTTGGCTCCGTACAGCGATCTGATAAAACCCGGGATCGAATCCTGTCGGAAAACTAGATTGCTGCTATTTCGATACTTCCGAACAAATTATATCAAATACAGACGAAGTTTGAAAATGTCTTGTAGTAACCTTTTACAGATCCTCTATTTATAACGGAGATATACATAACACAGAATGTGAATGAAACCCCAAAAGAAGACTTGTACAAATACATGCATGATGCCGAAAACAAAGCATATTATTGACTATCATGAGAGGCATAGAGTTATATAATATTCGCTTATCATGGAAAAAGCTTGAATCTTTACCATCACAAAAGGCTTATTCCTCCATTCTTCAAGGACGCTATGAGAATATCAGAGTAATCTCGTAGAACTCGAACTCAGGATTTTCCAGGAGAACGCTTCGCCGGTTTAACTGCCTGAATACGATGCGATAACCTCGGACATTGGCAAATCTAATGTCGGTTCAGTTACAAAATGTGAGCTCTTTTTGCTCCATCTTCCCTTCTACTGTCCTGCAAACATCAAGCTCTTCTGAGATGGTATTTTAGACCTTAGAGTTAGAAAGAGTAATTACTTCATAACAATCATTAAGATAGAGTTTTACTGCCAAACCAATCCTTTGACGTTTTTGTTAAATTAGAAAGTGTTAACTAATGAGTTAAAAAACATAATATGCCATTTGTTTATTACCCTAAACCAGTTTCCATACCCACAAGTTAGCCATAAAGTGAACTTGAACTAATCCAAACAGAAGACTGTCCCCCATGTCATAGGCTAGAGTGAACATCTCTTTAGCATACCTCGAAGTCTTTCGACTCTGTTTCTTGGAAGAAATGTTCTGGCTCAACATTTCCCTTGATAATTTTTGCACCACACCCTGGTGTTTCAACCGAACCAACTGCCTCTTCATCTACCAGAACTGCTCTTATACCATGAGACCCTTCTGTGATGCTGTCCGGTATCTGTTTAGGACACACAAGAAAGAAAAAAATATACGAACGCAATTATAGGGTATTAATAAAAAGAGAAGTCCAATATGTTTGCCTACACAGTACGCAAACACCTTTTGTCCCTCGGAGAATCACAAATTAGGGCTATCCAAAGGAATGGTGAAGTTAATGTAAGGTTTCTTGCTCTTTCTTGTCCAAAGAAAAGGGAAAAGGCAACCAAGAATATTGAGGAACCAGAGGCAGAAATTTTCTACTACACGAATGTGTGCTCATGCAGTTAGAGTCCCACATCGGAAATATGTGGGGACAATTGGGGGAGGGTGGCCGTGGTCTTATATACACTCGGTTTTCCCCACATATTTCCGATGTGGGACTATATAACACATGCATTTCAATAAATAAGGAAAAAGTGCTTGAAGTAAAACACTTAATTTCCGATACCTCGAACATTGCTTCCGTGAGAATACTTTCTAATAGAGATCGTAAGCCACGCGCACCGGTGTTCTTGGACATCGCTTTCTTTGCAATCATCCTGGTTGCTCCTTCAGTAAAGAGCAATTGAACCTAACATTTCATCCAGAAAGATAGGTTAAAGATAGGACAGCCGCATGGGAAGAGTCCCACAACAGAAAAACAACTTACACTGTTCATGCTAAACAGCTTCTTGTACTGTTTGCCCAGCGCATTTTTGGGTTCCATGAGAACCTATCTGAGGAGGGAGAATTTTCAGGTTAAAGTTTTACAGATGAATGAGAAAGTTGGCTGAAATTTCTGTTTGCAATCAAAATAAAATTATTTATAGTGCTAAGGCAAGAAGGGGCCCATAGGGGCCTAAATCCACTAAGAATCCCATGATTTTGTCTTGGAACACGCGCGGCCTAAACAGCCGCAACAAACGCGCGTTCACCCGCAAGTGGCTTTCAGATAATAATGTCCTCATAGGAGGTCTCCTTGAAACACACATCAGACAAGAAAACGCTCTCAGAATATGTTCAGCCATCCCCCAAGATTGGAAATATGCATGTAATTACTCGAGTGACTCCTCCGGTAGGATATGGCTGGTGTGGAACCCCGCATTGCAGGTCACTATATATCACTCATCCTCTCAGTCAGTTACTTGCAGTATCTTCAGCCAGGAGTATGATCTCCATCTAGCTGCAACCTTCATCTATGCTAAGAATCAAGCTCAGGATCGCTCAGAACTCTGGAACTGGATCTCAACAACAGCTTCTTACCAGCCGTTAACCTCTCTTCCTTGGTTAGTATTGGGAGATTTCAATCAGGCCCTCCAGCCCTCGGAAAGATCCGATTACCCAGTCAATAGCAGTACTCCGCACGGAATGCTGGAATTAGAGAGATGCATCTCAATTTCAGAGTTATTTGATATAAACAGCAGAGGACCTTGTTTTACTTGGTGTAATAACCAAGGTCTTCACCCTCTATCTGTTAAGCTTGATAGAGCAATGGGCAATGTTAACTGGCTTCAGACTTTCCCTGACGCCTACGCAAACTTTGAAGCCATTGGACCGTCAGATCATACAGCCTGTACCATCAGATTTCCGCAGCCAACTCAACGACCAAGGAAGCCATTCAAATTCTACCATCATATCATCTCCTCCCCCGATTTCTCCCAAATCGTATCCACCAACTGGAGCGGACAAACCATAGCAGGAACAAGGCAATTCCAGCTCTGCCAAAGTTTAAAGAGGCTAAAACCAGCACTCAGAAATCTGAACTCCCGACAGTACAGCGACATCTCTCGCAGAACCCAGGAAGTGCTCAACCAACTCGTGGAGGTGCAGGACATAACTATGTCTAACCCTTCCCCACAAGACATTGAAGATGAAAATAGACTCCGACAAAAATGGCAAGTACTATCATCTGCTGAAGAACGCTTCTTTCGCGTATCCAGTGGCTTAAGGAAGGGGATAATAATACAAGCTTCTTCCACAATGTCACCAAGTCTAGGATAAGCAACAACCACATTCACTCAGTCACCACACCTGACGGAAGGAAGCTGGAATCCTTGGACAGTATAAAAGCCCATGCTGTTGAATTTTTTCAGGATATGATTGGCAAAAGAGAAAACTCAATCTCACCTCCTGAGACTGAGTGGTTAATAGACCTGATTGGATTCCAATGCCCTCCAGACCGAACCCCGGATCTAGTAATGATTCCAACTGCTGAAGAGATAAAGAATACCTTGCTTAACATGCCTAACAACAAAGCCCCAGGACCCGATGGTTACGGGAAAGAATTCTACATAGCCGCATGGGAGACAGTAGGCGATAACTTAATAGAAGCCATCAGAGAATTCTTCCACACCGGTAAGCTCCTCGTCCAGGCTAACGCCACTGCAGTGGCCTTGATACGGAAGAAGCCGGATGCTGAATCCCTCTCAGACTACCGACCTATCAGTTGTTGTAACATCCCCTACAAGATTATCACAACTATCATAGCTAGGCGACTCAAACCGATCCTGCAATCCTTCATCTCCCACAACCAGGGTGCTTTCCTCCAAGGACGCCTAATGCTAGAAAACGTCCTCCTTGCTACTGAGCTTGTTCGAGACTACAACAAGGCCGTTACTAAGAAAAGTGCTATGCTCAAAATTGACTTCCGCAAAGCTTTCGACACAATTGACTGGGAATTCATCCTCCGAGTGCTCCAGGCTATTAACTTGCCACGCACATTTGTTAGTTGGATACAAGCTTGTATTACCACCACAAAGTTCTCTATTGCCATCAACGGGGAACTTGCCGGGTACTTCAACGGAGTGCGCGGGCTAAGACAGGGCGATCCTCTTTCCCGATATTTATTTATCCTTTCTATGGAAGTTTTATCTCGGATGCTTGATCGAGCCGCGCTTAACCGAGAATTCAAACTTCACCCAAAATGTAATAACCCTCTTGTAACACATCTTTCATTCGCTGATGACGTTATGATTTTTGCAGAGGCGGAAAGCAGATCGATGTTGGCCATTGCTCAAGTCTTGACAGATTTTGCGAACATCTCAGGCTTGCGGATCAAAAAAGCCAAATCTGAATTATTCCTTAGCGGCACAACGGATGTAGAGAGCCATGATCTTAGGGTTGTGCTAGGAATGCCCATAGGTACACCGCCTGTACGCTATCTCG